ATCCTGGAGATCCCAAGTCTCAGCTGGGGAAGGCAATGTCTGTGTGTGTTTGCCTCTGGAAGGTGCAATACAGGCTGAGCTTCCAATTCTCAGTAGTGCATCTGGCCGTGTCTCACAGGGCTTGTTCCAGGACAGCCTCTCCCTGTGCAGAAGTTGTTTTTTCTGGTGACCTGAGCATGGCTGGGGGTTGTGGTGACACACAGGGTCTTTGCTAGAGCCATGGTTATACTCTATTTTTTGTAATTGGCATCATTACTTTGAGAATGTTTGAGTCCCTCTTGTCCCCAGCACCTCGTTCAGCAGGCTCCACTCCTTGCCAGGGGGCAATAAGTCCATCTCTGCTGCTCCCAGGATACAACAGGTCCCCCAGCCCCCCTGGCCCCTCTGCCTGTGCTTATCTCTAGGTGAGATGCCAGGACCGTTTAAAAGCTGCAGGCTGAGCAGCAGAAGGCTGCAGCTGCTGCCCAGAGCCAGGCTGCGGCTGCTGCTCCGTTATTTACAGCTGCCTTTGGCTGCTCATGAGCTTCTCCAGCAGCTCTGCTGGCCACTGCTCACTGTCTGCTTGTCCCTGCGCTGGGGACCAGGGGTGTTTGTGCCCTCAAACCGGTGCCATCTGGCACCCCACCTTTGTACCAGCAGCGTACCCGGCTCGCCTGCCAGCTCAGGACAGAGCCAGCGGCAGAGCTAACCCCTTTGAGGAGCTCTGCAGGTTTAAAACTGCTTCCCAATATTGGCAGCAAATCCAAGCTGGAGCATGGTGGGGTAAATTTGTGGGTCATATGGCAGGGCCATATGCAGGCTGCATTCTCCAGGCTGGGTCCATGAAGGATGTGACCCGTGAAGGCCAGGGTTATTCTGCTGCCCTTCGTGTTGGTTGGCACCCCTCAGGCCGGCTCTGCTCGCTGCAGTCAGCTGTTGGACACTGCCAAAGCAGGGGCAGCGGCACCAGGCTGCCAGGCTCCCTGTGGCCGAGCAGCTCTGGAAGGACAGCATCAGTTTGCCCATGCTGGGGGTGTCTGACACCTAAATGTGGGCCAAATGGCATCTTCCAAGGTGCCCAGATGCCCACTGGTGCAGATGCAGGGCTGATGGAGCAGAGATGCACGTTTCTGTGGATGCCGTGCCAGCCAGCTCTGCCTGCTCCGCTTCGTGCCCGCTGTTGGTCCCCACGCGCCCTGGCAGCCCCACGGCTCCATCTGAGATGGAGAGCGGGGTGTGAGGCTGGAGCTGCCATATGTTCTCCATAAAAACACTTCTTGGCCCGTTCCCCGGCGTTTCCTGCCGCTGCCACACGTGCTCAGGATCCCACATGCCTCACAAGCCGTTCACCAACTGCAGCCTGGCAGATGGAGGAGCCGGGCATGGCTTTGCAGTAGGAGAGGCAGGAATCCACAAGCTCTGTTTGTTCTTGGGTTCTTCATGGCAGCAGAGGAAGGGGGAGGAGAGCTGGCACCACTCCTGCAAACTGCCCCTCTGCAGAGGGGAGAAGACTTTCCCATACCCACTCCCCACCATGGAGCCGAGCTGTGAGCCCTTCTTGGGTTGCACAAAGTGTTTTCACCTGGTGCCATCCTGTTTAAAGGCACTTGGAAATGGTGTGAGTGTCCTGGGTGGATGGAGACCATCATTCCTCCCAGGCAGGTGGTACTGGTTTGTTTTGGTGGCAGATGGCCAGTCAGCATTAAGAGCAAAGGCAGAAAATCAGTCCTCAGAGGGAGCAGAGATTTATTGCGGTAGGAAATTAAAAATGTATGCATCAGCTTTTGGAGTAGCTCCTGTTCTGCCTTGATCTGTTTGGGGGGGATGAGGGCTCCGGGCTCAGCCCTGTTCTGTGGCAGGGAGGTCTGAGGATGCTCAGGAAGCTGAAGGCACATCCCTTGGCAGTGGGTGTATCGTGATGGGCAGTGACTGGACCAAGCTGATATCTCTCTTACCTTGGGTGGCAGAGTGTGACCAGATCAGTGTCAGCTCTGAGCACAGCAGATGAGTGTCCCAGCCTCAGGAGTGGGATATCTTCATGCCACGTCAGCCGGGACACCCTGAAGAGCCAGGTGTGCCCACAGGGGTACATCTGTGGTGGGCTCCTGCTGCTGCTGGGCACCGAGAGGTTTCTCCTGATAACTCCTTTTACTTTGTGCTGTTTTCTAATGACTCTGTGCCTGGGTGGCATTGTGCCACAGTGGTCCCTGAGGACACAAGGGGATGCAGATCAGGCTCTTGGGCTAAAGGTGTGCAGCAGGCAGGACACAGGCAGGATGGGGACATGGACATAAGCAGCCGTCTGCTCCCTGCAGAGGGATGGTGTCACTGCTGGTCTGTGCCCACCAAGGTGGTGGCAGGTGTTCCCCAAGCAGTGTGGCCCCGGGGTGAGGCTGGGTTTGTGCTGCTGAGGGCACCGGGGATTGTTTCAAATCCTCAGCTCCCTGCTGCGAGAGCCAGGCCGTGAGCTTTGCAGCCCAGTGCAGAGCTCTGCCCAGAAATTAAAAAAGAAGAAACACAAAAAAAAAATCAGGCTTCAGGGAAGTGATAGCTCCTGGGGTTCAGCCAATTACCAGTGTTAGGGAGAGAGCTACCTTACCCACTGCAGCTGGTTTTCTCTGACCTCTTGCTCTGGTCCAGAGTGAGCACACGTTAATCCCCAAACCCGGCACGGGAGAGCTGCGGCAGGAAGGATGCTCAGAGCCTGGAAAAGGCATGTTGTACCTGCTGCTGAGCATATTACTGCTTCTCCAAGAGCGGATAAGTCCTGCTTACGAGGACGCTCGTCCTCTTTTATTTAATTTCCTGGTAATGCTTCTGCAGCGTCCAAGTCTTATCAGGAGAGGAGCAGCTTAAGAGGCCGGTAAAGGAGTTTTTATTGTCGGTATCCACCTCTTTATCCCCCTCTTCCCTTTGACGCCGGATGGCAGGCTGGTTGTGGCTGAAGTGAGGTGTGCTTTCTTTTCCTTGTGTCTGTTAAAGCTGCAAAGATTTCCCGGCTGACCAGTCCTGATGGTAATTTCGGCTGCGGCTCAGCCGCGGCTCCCGTGGCGAGCAGCGAGGGTGACACCGACACCCCGATTGCACACAGAAGGACTGAGCTGGGGGCACAAGTGGGCAGCTCTGCTCTGGGACTCGCCATCCACTTGGCCCTGACTTGGTGAGCAAACCCCTGCCTCAGTTTCCCCGGAGCCATCGCACTGAGCTCGGCCACATCTGCGGGGCATCCCGGTGCTTCGAGCTGCTCATCCTCATGTTCATCTGCTGCGGGGGCTTGTGGATGGGGGAGCCGGAATCGCTGAGGGCAGCAGGGTGGGGTGACAGGAGGAGTGTCCCCTGGGAAGCCAGCAGCTCGGTGGCTGCTGTCTTGTGGCAGCCAGCTCCGTCCCTGGCGTTCTCCCTGGCCTTGTGGAGACGCAGTGCTGCATTCAGCCGCCTTTTCAGCTGCACACGATGGCCTTGGGTAGCGTTTGTTTGAGAAAATTGGTAGGATCGCGTGATGCTTTTTGTTGTGGTTGCTACTGTTGTTCTTTGGAATGCTCATGGGAGTAGCAGAGCAGCTAACGAGGCGGCGCAGAGACAGTCGCTGGGGAGGGAGATGGGCCCGCCTGGACTTCCCTGCAGCCGCACTCTCCTGGTGATGGAGCTGGCTCTGCTGCTGCTGGGAGCGCCGATGGGTGCGGCACTGCTCAGGGGGTGCCCAGACCCTGCTGCTCCCCAGTTCCCTTCCCCGAGCCTCTCTGTTTCCTTCTGCAGCCACGTGCCGCTGCATGCGGGAGCACCCATGCAGCTGGGCGCCAGGAAAGGTCACCTGGCTGTGGTGACATCCCATCATCACAGAGCGCAGCTCACCCATGGCCAGCGCTGTATCCCTGACCCTGGGCAGACTCACCTGCTGCTCAGAGCTCTCCTGGCTCCCATGGCAGACTCCCTTAGAGGATTTTGGGTGGTTACCTGGGACCAGGCTTGGCACGGGGCTGTCTTTGCTGGCAGTGAAGCCCCAAGCTCTGTGTGCTGGTGTGGAGCTGCCAGGAGCTCCTGTCCCCTCCAGCCCCACGTGCTGTCCCCCTGGGCTCTGCAGCAGGTGCCCAACACGGCGCTGGGAGCGGGTGGGGGAGTCAGAAATGCAGACAGATAGCATTAGATGGATGATGCATGGAATCCTAAACTGATAAGAGATGGAACAATTGGTGTGTTGTCAAAAGGCCGGGAAGGATCTCTTTTAAATAGACTAAATAGTCTGGACAGGAACAAGCAATGAGCAGCACAGAAGCAACAGCACGTTCACCACTTTGTTTTTCTGGCTGGGCTGTGCGTGTTGCCATCTGTGCTGTGCTCTGTGGCCATCCCGTGGTGCTGGGATTGCTCCCCCACAGCAGGCTCACAGCCTGGAGCCACGACTGGCATTGCTCCAGGATGCCAAGGGCAGCTTTGACACGACCTTGCCCTGGGCTGGATCTTCCCGTCTTCTGGTTGTCTCCACTCCAAGGAGTCCCTGGGCTGATGGTGGAGATTTGGTTGTAATAGCACAGCTGAGCCTGCCTTAATCCCAGTTTTTAGACTGGCTAAACTTGTTTTCACTTATCTCTGATACTGTTGAGCTGTGTTACACAGCATGAATAAGCCAACCCTTGAGTTTGCTCTTACAGCTCTGCAGAACGGCAGAGAGAGCTGTGCCAGGGCCGCAGGGAATGGCCAGAATGGAATGGAATGGCAAGTGGAATGGCCAGAGCCACGCCACCACAAGTTTACCCTGCACAGATCTCCCATCTGATTAAGGGCAGTGCTGGGGCAGGGGTGGGACAGTGAGGTGCTGGGGGAGGGTGGATTTACCCTCGTGTGGCATCTCCATGGATGTCCCGGTGCCTGAGCTGCTGGTGACAGGGGCAGGCGCTGCTCTGCACGGGAGGACGGGGCTGTGGCCGTGCCAGGAGGGCTCTGGGAGCGCTGCAGGTGCAGTGGGGCTGCCCTGCAGGCCTCAGAGGGCTGGGAGTGCTGGGCAGGGCTGCGTGGTGGGGCGCGCTACAGCCTGTCCCTGTGATTGCAGCGCAGCCATGTGATGCCGGAGGAGCGCGGTGGCGATGATATGGAATGTGGGCAGCTGCCTTCGGACACGCTCCGACAGGTGACGGTCCAGCGCCACCCCCTCTACGGATTCGGCTTTGTGGCTGGCAGCGAGAGGCCAGTGGTGGTGCGCTCGGTGGCAGCAGGTAGGGGGCTGGGGTGGTGCTGGACACAGCTGCAGCGTGCCAGGAAACACAGCGGCACTTCCCCCTGGTGGGACCCCTCCCTGGGCTCCTGTCCTCTCCTGTCCCCTCTGGTGGGCCTGCAGGCTGCCCTCCACAGCCACATACAAAGTGGCTGCTTTGATGCTTTGATGCTTTGGGGATGCTTGGGACCCTCCTGCTTCCCCTTCACCCCGCAGCTCCGGGATGCCTGGGTTGGGCCTGACCCTCTCTCCTGGCAGGCGGCCCCTCTGAGGATAAACTCCTGCCAGGAGACCAGATCTTGGCCATCAACGATGAGGATGTGAGTGAAGCCCCCAGAGAGAGATTCATCGAGCTTGTCAGGTGAGGACAACGCTTGTCCCTCATCGCCTCTGGGGAGGGGCTCATGCCAGGCTGCTGTGCCCGTGCCAAAGCCTTGGGGTGTCAGTGCACACCCACATCACCAGTGCTCCCTGCTGGGGTGGGGAATTCTCAGCCTGAGCAGGGGGAGTGCCTTGGAGCGAGTGCCATAGCCATTTTCAGCTGGCCAAGAAGTGGGGAAGTATCCACAGCCACGATGTCAAGCACCCCAAGGAGCCCAGAAAGGTCCCGGCCACCACTGGGCTGGGAAGGGTGGGGTGTGCTCTCAGTAGCCAGTTGCACATGTTGAGGTCCATCACCATAAAGTTCCATCCATCTTCATTTCTTCTTTCTGTCACAGGAAGGCCAAGGACTTCATCATCCTCACGGTCCTGCACACCCACCAGGTGAGACTGGCAGGGCCATGGCCAGCTCCAGGGGAGCCAGGACAGGTGAAAAGCCCTTCTGGAGACCGAGGCAGGGTCCCTGGAGACCCTGGGAGATCACTCAGGCAGCTCAACTGATTTGTTGCACCCACATCTCACCACCCCAAGGCTCTTCCAAGCTGTCGGATCTGAGAGCTGCCACAGCTCCTTGGGCGTGCAGCCTTTCCCCCTTGTCACCAGGAGGGAGAGAGGAAAAATACTCCCAAACCCAAACAGCTGCTGAGGACACCACGTGTGTCTGATGGAGTAACCCAAGGAGAGATGGCAGGGAGAGGTCGCTGCTGTCTCAGGAATCCCTGGGGAGCTGGGAGGCTGCAGGAGGGCTGGAGATGCACCAGCAGCCATGGTGCCCTGGGGCTTGGTGCCTGTGGCACTGGGGCAGACTGAACTGTCTTTTTGACTTCACCGAGTCTTTGATGCTGGGGAAGAAGTGTGAGAGCTCCCCTGTGCTCCCCGGGAAGGAGATGCCCCCACCCAGCGCTGCTCTGTCAGGAGCAGGGGTGTGTGCCACTCTCCAAAAAAGCTTTTTTCCTCCTGGCCTGGGATGGCCACCAGCTGAGACAGGTGGCCCAGCTGGTGCTGGCACCATCAGACACACACAGCTCTGTGTCTCTGGGCTGGAGTATGTGCAGGCACTGCCACCAGAACATCCTGCAGGGATGCCCGGGCTCCTGCTGTCTTCCTGGGGCTGCAGACCCACATCCAAGGGGTTCATCTCTCCCATCCGAGTGCCAGTGCCTCCAAGCAAGACCTGGCTGACATCTGCTGCCTGCACAAGGGGTGCCAGGCACAGGGGCTCACTGGAGTGCAGCTTCCCAGCCACACTGATGCTGCTGGTGTGACTTCAGGGGCTGCTGCTCATCGTTCTGGCCCTGCCTGCAGCGCTGTGTAACCACAGCCGAGGGGATTTGCTTTCCACCCTCCCCATTTCATGGTTTGCTGCCCATCATCACGCTGGCTCCAGAGGGGTTTCCTCTGGGCCCCGTGCCTGCCTTTCCCCACACTGTGCTCCAGGGGCAGGCAGGTGATTTACCCAGTGCTCTCTTTCCAGTCTCCCAAATCTGCTTTCATCAGTGCAGCCAAGAAGGCGAAGCTGAGGTCCAACCCAGCCAAAGTCCGATTTTCAGAGCAGGTGACAGTCGGCGAGACAGACCCAGTAAGTCCTGCCCTGCCTTCCTCTGTGGTTCACCCCCTGGAGGTGTCCCCAGGGCCATGGGCTGTGGGGTGATTGGGGTCCCACAGGGCTCCTCTGCCCTGATTTGGGAGAGCAGCTGTCTGGGCTGGGGAGCCCCACGGGACAGATGCCTTTGGGCACGATCAATGTGTTGGGTCACTGCTGGGGGGCATTCCCTGTGGTCCTCCCTCTGAGGGAGCCCCAAAAACTGGCCTTGAAAACCTGGTCTCAACTGTGTCCCCCTGAGCATCCAGGGGAGGCATCCAGGCAATGCCAGTGCCTGCCCTAAGGAAGATCCATGGCTTCCAGCCTGATCCCAAAAGCTTTGGAGTGCCTGTATGTGGGGCAGGGTGACCAGGGCATTGCTGAATGGCTGTGGAAGCTGAAGAGTTCCAGCCCAGTGCTTTTATCTCTTAATTGCAGGAAGGGTTTATTAAAAACAAAACAAAACTGAAAAGAAAACCCTGTAAAGCACTTCTAGCACGTTCTATTTTTAAGCAAAATCAATTAGGTAATTATCTGATTGAAATGCTTCTCAGCAAATAAAATCAGCCTTCTCCCAACTTCCTGCAGAAGGGGTGTGCAGGGTTGAGGGGGGCTAGGGTTGGGGTAAGGGTCAGGAAAGGGGGATCAGCTCTGAGCCACCCCAGCCCCACCTGGACACCAGCTGGGGAGCGGGACAGGCTGCCAGGCATGGGCACTGGGATGTGCTGGACAGAGCAAGATGCTCTGTTCCCACTGCAGCTGCTGGGAGCTGAATCTGTCAGGCAGCTCTGAATTGCCTCAGCTCTGTGCTTCTTGATGGCTCAACAGAACGCTGGGTTTTCAGGGGAAATGTGTCTCTTAGCACAAAAGCCCAGAGCAGCAGAGGATGCCACGAGTGCTCCATCACTGACAGTCTCTCTCTCTCTCCCCCTCCTCCCTCCGCCTCTCCGTGCCCCCCACCCTCCTGGCCTCCCCCTTTGCCGGCCCCACATGCCAGGACATGTTGAAGAAAGAAGCTCTCCTCCTCATTCCCAACGTGCTGAAGGTTTTCCTGGAGAACGGGCAGATCAAATCCTTCACGTTCGATGGCCGAACCACTGTGAAGGTGAGCCCCTCCGCTCCCCCCCCAGCACCGTGGCACTCCTCTCCTCCCACCTGCCCCATCCTTTTCCTCTCCTGCTTCCCGAGCACGAGCCCCGCAGCAGCGCTGGGCTGGCTGCGAGCCGCTCTGGCATGATGGATGGCTCGTCTGCCTCCCCAGGCTTTGCAGCTGGCAGCCATGGGGGTTTGCTGGCTCTCTGCCTCTCCTGACTTCTCTGCTTGCTGTGAGCCTGCCCTGCAGCCAGGGTGGATGCTCCTGAGTCCCCCTGACAGGGGCCAGCTCCCTCAGCACCACCAGGTGCTGGGGTCACCTCCCGCTGCAAGGTCGCTGGCCACCACCCTGTGGCCCCTCTCAGCCTCATCCTGGCACAGCCCCGGTTGCCAGGGATGAGTGGGCTCTCCGTGAGGTCCCAGCCCCCTCCTGGGAAGCAGCCAGTGCCTCGCACCCAAGCCTGTCCGTGGCATTTGCAGGACGTGATGGTGACATTGCAGGACCGCCTGTCGCTGAGACACATCGAGCACTTTGCCCTGGTCCTGGAGTATTCCAGCCCGGAGCAGAGCCACCGCTTCCTGCTGCTCCAGGACAAGCAGCCGCTGGCCCACGTAAGCTGCTGGGTGTGGGAGGGTGTTGGGATGGCTGGGGCTGGGCACAGAGAGCCTCCTGTTCCCCCAGTGTGGGGCTTGGCTGGGATTGTGCTGTGGGGTGGCACAGCCTCTCCCTGCCCCTGGCATGGTCCTGCAGACTCAGGGGTGAAAAGGGTGGCCAAAGAGGGAGACAGTTTTACCCAAAGATGGGTTTTACCCATCCTACACTGACAGCTGCTCTGTGTTCCAGCCTGAGCAGCTGCAGACAGCACTCATGAGCATCCTTGGCTGGGAGAGCCAATAAGCTCAGAACCAGGGATAAAATGGGGATCATGGAGCAAACATTACCCTGAGGGGTGTAAACCCTACAGCACCAGGCAAAGCTGTCACACCAAGGAAGGCTGAGGTGTTGCCGGGATGAAAGGTGGTGCATGGAGGAGAGAAATCAAATACCATGTCAGAAGAGAGGAGAGGGCATCTCATGCCCTGCAGCCAGTGGTCCCTGGGCTCACTTCTCCCCTCTGCTCCTGCCACAGGTTGTGCAAAGAACACACTACCACGGCATGAGATGCCTCTTCCGTGTGAGCTTCTTCCCCAAGGACCCAGTGGAGCTGCTGCGCCGGGACCCTGCAGCTTTCGAGTATCTGTACATCCAGGTAGGGGCTGGGAGCTGGTGCTGCTTGTGGCCCACACGTCTGCCAAGGCTGGGCCCTGTGGCAGCAGCCCTCAGGTGGCAGTGCCCTGTCCCTGTGGCTGCCTGAGGACACCTCTTCTCCTCCCACAGAGCCGCAACGATGTGATCAGAGAGCGCTTCGGCACAGACCCCAAGCCAGAGATGCTGCTGGGGCTGGCTGCCCTCCACATCTACATCACCGTCTCGGCCACCCGCCCCAGCCAGAAGGTCTCCCTCAAGAATGTGGAGTGAGTCCTCCTCGCTGTCCCCAGGCTCCCACACAGCCCTCCTTTGCTGTCCCTTCCCTGTGTCACAGCAGCGTTTTGGGGTGCGGAGCATGAGATGCTCTGAGAGCCCCCCCTGAGCTGGGCGGTGGCTCAGGGGCTTGGCAGCAGTGACAGCCAGCCCCTGGTCCCACCATGGGGCTGTGTAAGGCCCCCTCACAGCAGCCAGGCCTGGGGACATTTGCTGTGAGCCCAGCATCATGTCCATGGGAACCTGGGCTGATTTTCCACCTGCATCCAAGGCAAGGAGAGCACGGCTCTGTGGCTGTGTAATCTCAGCCTGTCACCAAGCTGTGCAGCACTGGCTCAGCCCTCCTGTGGCTCCTGGAGAACCTAAACCCATACCCAGCCCATCTGTGCAGGCTGGCCTTTCCCAGTCAGCACAGGGAGGAAGGAGGGAAGGGTCACCCTGAGAGGACCCCAAATGAGGTTTGGGAATTTGCCCTGCATCCCCTAAGCTTACATGAGGGTGAGTGGGAGCTGGGGTCTGCTGCAGAGTGTGGCACTGCTGTTCCCCAGCCTGATGCTGTAGCTGTGTCACCAGCCTGGGGTCCCATCCCCTTGGGGACCTGAGCTGGGGGCTGCTCCCACTCTGGCTGTGGCACCAAGGAAGTGCTGGTGTGGCTCCAGCTCTGTCTGATGGCAACAGAGTGCTCTGGGACAGTGTTCTGTCCCTCTCTGCCCGCTGGCAGTGTGTCCCACCTGGCAGCTCACACAGGCTTCCCTCCCCACAGGAAGGAGTGGGGCCTGGAGCCCTTCCTGCCCCCCTCGCTCCTGCAGCTCATCAAAGAGAAGAGCCTCCGGAAATCCCTCTCACAGCAGCTCAAAGCCCACCAGCACCAGCCTGGCGGCACCAAGGTGAGCCCAGCACTCAGTGCCTGTTCAGGCTCAGCCTGCCCTCCACCCCAGCCTGCTGTCCCCAGCTTCTCAGAGACCCTTGCTATTAAATCCCCTGGGATGGGAGATAAATCCCAGGCAGACAAGCAGACACTCTCTCTCCTGAATCCTCTTTCAAGAGCTGATCTGGATTGCAGGGAGTGCGGCGAGGATCAGGGCTGAGATCATCTGAAGCTTGGCTGAAGTGGCTGGCACACCTCAGTTCATTGTTATCTGGGCTTGGAAAGCTCTGGAGGCAGCTGCTGAGCCATCACCCTGGTCCCTGCAGCCTTCACAGCTCCCCAGGGAGGGCTGTGCATCCCAGGGGGGTTAGACATCAAGCACTGCGGCTCCTTCCTGGAGTCACCTCCCAGCAGCTGCTCAGGATGGCAGGGGAGAGGAGACCCCCCCCTCACCCACAACTCAGACTTGATTCCAGCACAGCCCATGCCCAGAGCTGCCTGATAACTTGCTGTGCACCCCTACTTGAGAGCCCCCAGGTCTGCCCCAGCCTCCTGCATCTCTTCCCCCTGTGCTCACCTGTGTGATGTTTTGTCAGGTCTCCACAGCCCAGGCAAAGCTGCAGTACCTGAGGATCCTGAACGAGCTGCCGACCTTTGCTGGGGTTCTCTTCAACACGGTGGGACTGGTACGGTAATTCAGGCTGGGCTGGGAGGTGCCTGCTCCTGACTGTGTGCTGGGGGGGAGCCAGAGGCATGTGGCTCCCACAGAAATCACTTCCCTCGTTCTCTTGCTCTGCCCTGCTGAGCTCCAAGCCCACCCAGAAAAGCCTTCAGAGCCTGTGCTGTCAGCAGGTGGGATTTCCAGGTCGGCAGGGTCAGGATCTGCTCTGTTCTTGCCAGCCTGTGGGGCAGCAAGATGAGCCTCTCAGTGAAGTAGGAGCAGGCATGTGTTTGTAGCTCAGTCGTGCCCTGGCACATCCTGCCATCCATCCTGGAGGAGGGCAGCTCCTGGCTAAGGAGTGTTCCCTGATCACTGCCACAGTGATCCTTCACTCCTCACCCAAAGCACCTCAGCAGGAGGAAAGCCACCAGTCCAAACAGGACTCCACCTCCCTGAGGTCCCCATGGAGGTGTCACCTCTCTGCCATCCTTCCCTTTACCCCCACCCATGGTATCAGCACTTCCCTGCCTTCCTGTGCTTTGCCCACTGGGTTCCCTCTCTGGCAGCCTTTGCTCTGCTCTGCCCCTCACCTCACAGCTCAAAGGGCTGCCTGCAGGAGACCAGTGCAGGCACAACCTCGTGGTGTCAGTCACAGCCTGCTCCTGACACTGCCTGAGTAGACAGCAGGTTTTTTTAATCTCTGACACCAAAGCAAAGCCTCTGAGCCAGCCTGTGTGTTGAACTTTGTTGAAGTGGTAAAAAGTATTCCCTTATCATCTTCTGCAATGGTCTGCCCAGCTCCTCTTCACCTCCACACCTGGCTTGGAGCATCCTTTTAGACCAGAGCAGAAACATCTTGATTTCCAGTGAAGGTTTTGGTCTTTCTTCTTTTCTGAAATACATTCACTCCCTCCTTTGCTTCCTTCTCTGGGAGGCAATGTCAGATCAGACAGATTTGTAACACACTGCCTTCAGTGTAGTGACACCGGTGAGCCTGAATGTTTCATGTGGACAGTCAGTTCAGAGCTTTACTTTTAAATAGCCTTGACATCCTGCACACCACTCCCAGCTCTGCAGAGGGGCTCAGAGAGCCTGGTTGATGGCACCAGCCTTACCTACTGCTCTTCAAAAGCCATCCTGGGCCTGACCAGGCTGCCAGCATTGGGGCTTGGCTCCATGGGGAGAGCCAGGTGCAGGCTGTGCCACCCTGGGGTGTGTTTGTTCACCCCGTGTCTCTCTCTCCCCGTGTGCCTGTGCCAGCAGGATGAGAAGCAGCCAGCCACCACCCTGCTGGTGGGACCCCGGCACGGCATCAGCCACGTCATTGACCTGAAGACCAACCTCACCACGGTGCTGTCAGAGTTCAGCAAGGTCAGCAAGATCCAGCTGTTCAGGGAGAACCAGGGCGTGGCCCGTGTGGAGACGAGCATCCTGGATGCCAAGGTAGGCACCGTGGAGGCAGAGGGGTGGAGATGAGGCTGGGAGATTGGGGCCAGCCTTTGAGGGGATTCACATCACAGCTGTGTGCTAGACAATCTGTTTGGGGGTTCCTAGAGACTGCAAAACCCCTTTCACACCGGGGTCTGCAGCATCTCCCCTGCTGCTCTGGCTCCTTGTGCCATACAGGCAGGGATTGCTGCTGATGGCCACAGGGCAGGCATGGTGGCCTTCTGGCCATGGCCCAGGGCCACAGGGCAGGCATGGTGGACCCAAACATCCACCTAATGGTTCAAACAGGGTCCTTGGGGCAGATGGGGGTGATACAGGCCAGGCAGGTAGCAGGACCTTTGGAGGCAGGACAGCACCTCACCTCTGCTCAGGGCTGGAGAGGAGCAGTGCATGGCCTTACCTGGGCTGGGTGCACCTACTGGAAGGGACTGGGAGGTTTCATGCATTAGTAGCACTTGTGGAACTTGTCAAGCCAGGCAGGATTGTTGAATAAAGTGGAAATGATGGGAAGGAGGTGTCAGGCTCAGTGTGAGCACAGATGACTGTGTGTCCCTGGCCCAGTAGCTGCCCCCTTTATCGTCCCCTTCAGCCCCCAGAGCACTCCTTGGCACGCCCTCCTGAGCCCCCTGTGTTATCATCCCCCATCCCCTGCTGGTTGCTGTGTAGTGCAGTGCTGGTTCTGATAATCAGTCCCCGTGGTCAGCCCCTGCCACCCCTCATGGGTCCCAAACCCTCCAGGAAAAGTGTCAGCAGTACAGTAAGATCTTTCTTTACTTCCTTGGTGCCTGGCACAGCAGCCACAAGATCCTAAGGAGATCTTCCCTTGGTCTTTGCTCAGGTTTTTGACAAGCTGGGACGTGTCCCTGACAGACTCAAAGGCAGGTAGCTGTGTGTGTCTCCAGGGCATCCTCGGTGTCCCTGCCTCCCTGCACCCAGCTCTCCCTGCCCCATGGGGAAGGACAGCTGAGAGGCAGAGATCTCACAAATAAATTCCAAGCCTTGTCTTCTCCTCTCCTCCCATTTTGAATTCAACAGGACAGAGTTAGGATTGAGTTTGGAGTTAATTAGTCAGGAGCTGTGTTTGGCAGAGACTGTCTGGCACAGTGGGGCCAGGACTCTGTGGGTCAGCTTTCCTGCCCCTGCATCCATCCCTTTTTCCCCTGAGATTGATGAAGCTGAGCTGCTTTGCCTGCTGTGTTTCATCTCCTGCAAGGTCTCAAAGCCTCAGCCCTCTCTGCAGTCCTTCCTTCACACAGTTCCAGCCGTGGTCTCACAGATGTAATCATGGTGGATTTGTTTGGGATTCTCCTGCTGCCTCCTGTCCTGGTGGATTTTAGCACTTTCTCCCATCCAGCTCATTAATTCCTCCAATTCTGTTTTCCTGCTGCTGCTGCTGCTGTGCCTGGTCCAGCAGCTCTGCTAACCTGCAGTAACACCCCAGCAGCCTCTGCCAGAGCTTTGTTAATCCTCAGCACCTCTGCTTCAGCTCTCCCTTCCACAGCCTCATGGACAAAGCCCTTTTTTTTGCATCCCTAATTCAGTGGGTATTTGGTCAACTGTAACATTTTTAACATTCCCTCTTCTGCATCCCACCACGGTCAATTGTGGTGCAGCTAAAGCCTCGGTGTCCTGCTGTGCCTGTCCTAACCCTTCACAGCCCTCACCCTCCCCTGCTGCAGCCTGGGCAGGTGGGAGCCCTCCTTGCCCAGCCCCTCCAGCTGCCTGGGCTGTGCAGGAATCCATCCATTTACTCCTCACAGAGCAGGAATAACCGGGGGATATTGTAACCCTGCTGGTTCCTCCTGCTGCCCACCCATGCCCCTTGGCTTTGTGTGTATAAAATCACCATATTAATGCATTAATAATAGGCTGGGCATGACCCTGTTACTGCTCGTGGCTCGCTGTGAGTGCTCTGAGCACGGCTGTCCCCATTGTCACCTCGCTCCATGGCACTGGCTGAGCTCTTGGGGTGCTGCTGTCCTCTCCCTGGTGTGGAGGAGAGTGCTGTTCCCCCCAGCACAGACTGGCCACAGGAGGGACAGATGCTCTGGAGGCTTAGGTGATACTGGCATCCATCTGCTCTAAATTAGGTGGCAATTCCCACGCAGCTTGTCCACAGATCCTGCAGCGCTGCTCCCCACAGCCATTCCCGGCTGCAGAAATCTGCTCTGTACCTCCAGCAGCCCTTTCCTGCTGCAGGAGCAGACTTTCTCCTGTGACCCTGCTATCCAGCCCCACAAAGGCTGGAGAAAAGCCAGCTCACCGGGGTAAGGCAGCTCACACACTTCCTGCGAGCACGTCCGCATGCACGATGGCTTTATCTTCATGAGAAATTCCAGGCAGCTGCCTCTGGCCACCAGAAACCCCTCTGCCTGCCTGGAGTGGAGCAAGCACCCCATTTATGGATCTCAGCAGGCTCAGCAGCACCGTGCCAGGGCAGGGGCTGCTGTTATCTGTCTTCATTTAGCCATTATCCGAAGGGCTGGGTTTTAAAGCCAGAATGTCTGCTCCAGAACGAGGCATATGCTAATCCTACGCAGGACAGCAATGGATGAGGCAGGCTAAGAAAAGCAGGCAAAAAGATCATTACCTCACAGTGCTAATCTGCTCTCTACAATTATTCTGTTGCACTGAACGTGTCCCTGGCTAAAGCCCTTGGTTGCAAATCAATCAGTTTCTGCTGAGAGTTGCAAACCATTAGAGGGCTCAAAGTTGTGTCCTGACTGCTCTGGGGACCTGTCAAATCCATGTCACCCTTGGGAGCCTGTCAGAGCTCCATGGATTGCAGTGTAGGAGGGGATGTCCCCCTGGGCTGTTTCACCCTGATGCCTGGCACTGCTGCTGCCATGGGATGCTGCTGCTGGGGCAGCTCCCAGCCTGAATCTGTGGGAGGTGCTCGCTGAGTTACTGTGGAAACACAGATGGTCAATGATGGGTTAGGGTTTTGTGCAGAAAGACCATCTTGAATTTCTAAATGTATTTAAAATGATGGGTTAAAAAGGGGGTCAGGTCATGGAGCAGCCCTCAACTGGGAGGTCTGAACACCCTGACCAAACCAGCCAGAGCAGTCCAGACATCCTTATCTGCTGCTGACCTGCAACCACAGCCCAGACTCACCTGCCAGGAAGGAGCTGGGGGAGATTTTCAGGTAACAAACAGGCTTGAGGAGATCATAAAACATTTGCATTTATTTTGGGCGGAAAAGAAATACTGTTTGTCTTATGAATTATTCACTAGGTAGTTAATTGGTTTGTTTTGGAGCTTTTCCACCCTGGGCTTCAATTTCTGTTTAAAACAGCTCATTTGGGATACAAACCCAGGGCTGGTGCCTTTATTTTGCCTTCTTTAGCTTTTTGCCTCTGTGGCAAGATGGGGGCACATTCTGACAGAACCCCTCAGAGAGGAGCTGCGCAACCTCGGGGCAGAAGAACAAAAACCTCCAGGCTTCTGCTGTTGTTTCCAAGGATTTTGTTCCCTGCAAGGTCTGTGAGAGCTGCAGGGAGGACAGGAGCAGGTTTTGTCTCAACAGTCATGGAGGGAGTTGAGCAGTTTTGCTTGGGAATGCTGAGAAAGTTCCCAGCCTGTGCCTGGGGACAGGGGCACACGTCCCCAGCTGCACTGCAGTGGTGCAAGTGGTCATTTTGCAGGTTCCAGTGGTCATTCTCACCTGACAAAGCCTCCTTTCTGCTGGGGCTGTTGCTTCTCTGTTCTTCCTCCTCATGTTTGGGCACTGATTCTGGAGCTTGTACATTTGCTGGGGGCAGGGAGGTGGCACAAGGTGTCTCCTGTGATCTTCATGCATTAAGTGCATCTTGCCAGGTTGGGGGGGCTCTGCATCTCCCAGGGGCTTCCCCCTCCTGCTGGGGCCAGCGTTTGAGAGTGGCCAGTGCTTCTGAGCCAGCTCAGAATCGAGCTTCAGGCATGCATCTCCCTTCCTCCCCTGTGCAGCACTGCAAAGTCCTGCTCTGCCTCCCAGCATCCCAGGAAGGACAATGTCAGCATCTCCTGCCTGGCACCTGGACAGGCCTGGATGGGGCACAGGGAGGTGACTGTCCCCACCCCACCCAGGCTCCCCTGGCTGTGCAGCTCCGCAGCTCCCCCAGGAGCAGAGGGTTTGTTCTTACTGAAATGCCTTTTCCGATGGAGCATTTCTCCTTTCTGATTTACACAGCTGCACACCACTGGGCTTTTTGTTATTAACAGTCTTGACATTGGGAAAAAGGCTGCTGAAGCACTCTGAATGCGAATGAAAGCAGAACGCCTGGGGGACAGCCGGATCACCTGAGCCTGGACCAGCGTCTGCAGCTTAGCAGAGGAGCTGTGCCAGGCTGTGCCCTGTCCCTGTGCTGGGCTCTGGGGCAGGAGCCCGTGGTGCTGGCTGCTCTCCAGGCACAATTCAATCTGAGGCATCGAGGTAATTGACTTTGGTCTCCCAGCAGGGCCTGCAGCCAGCCGGCGCTTAAGCCAAGATCAAGACTTGAGAGAGGAAAACAAAGGAGGAATTAATTCAGAAAGGTCCCTGGCTGCTGCTGGGATCTGGGTACTGGTGTTGGTGTTCCAGGGCCATGGGTAAAGAACACTGTGCACAGCTGGGGCTCAGCCCTCTCCTCTCCCTGTGGAAGGACCAAGGAGCCCCTTCCTCTCACAGGGAATGGGATGATGGCCCCTCTGAGCCTTCCCTGCTGGAGCCAGCCCCAAGCCTGGCTGTGCTCCCCTGAGCTGATCATGGCAGGGATGTGCTCTGGTGCTGAGGCCAGTGCCTGATGTACATTTGCCAAACTCCAGTCTGAAAACAGTGGGGAGCCCCATCAAAGCCAGCAGGGCAGGCAAGGCTGACATTCCTCCTGCTCCTGCAAGCACTGACTGAAGCCCCTGAGATTTCTCCTACAGGAAGAGTGAGGCTTTGGAGTGACAATGGGCCCACCCCTCTGGTTCCTTACACCAAATTAATCTTACTTTGCATTAAACCATTCCAAAATGCTGTCGTCTCATGA